TTCTATCCGAACAGAATTAAGAAAATGGCGATATTAGAATTTTTTTTAGATGAGATTATAGACCCCCTAGCGTTGCCCCCAGACCCCCCTAGCGTTGCCTCGCGCCGAAGGCGCTTGCTACGTCACAGGGCCACGGTCAGCCCAGAAGCTGGATCCGCCCCTGAAATGTGTAAGTGTGACATGGAATAGTTATGTTCATATAGAGAAAAATGTAAAAAATATATGTTAAAAGTGATAAAGTCAAATTTAAAATTTAGTGCTTGTTAAATATACTGTGGGAACAGTGCATATGGTTTATAAATTATTCGTGCATAATAAGTTCAATTGTTTCAAAGGTGTCAAAGGTGTCAATTTAATTCAGTAAGTAAATTACTTCGACAAAGTCGTCGCTTGTTGACAATTTAGTGTCTACAGGGCATAATTTTTTTGTAAAAATCATGTTAGTAACACATAGAGGAAGAAACAATCTAGTTAAGAATTATAATTTTACCTGATGCTGACTTGGACGTGGGGCTTTTTGGAACGATTTGGGAGAATCTAAATTTTAGGCTTCTACAATCGCCTGCACAAACACATAGCAACATAACGCTAGGGAGCACATGCCCCCCCCCCTCCTCGTCCACGAAGCCCTTGATTGGTAGGTTATGTTTGGCGAAGGTTTTTGATTATCTGACCGGCGATGTCGTTGGGAAACTTTACATTTACGAGAGATACAACGACGGAATACAATAATGATAAAAAATAATAACAATACAGCACGTGTGAGTCATTAGACCAATAAAGATGGTTACTTCATTGAGGTCTTTTTCAATGAACGTATTTTGGTAATTTATCATTTATGTTTTCGTGCTTGACATTTAAATTTTTTCCTAAAAACGACAAATCAGCATGGAATAAACTCAACAAAGACAGTTAAGTTATATTTTAAGTTACAAATTGAAAGTAAACAATGGAAGACAAATTTATTGCTCAAAATACAATTGTCAAAATATACAGTAAAGGTTCCGTTGTTCACTGACGTCATTAGCATGGAGATGGAGTTATTCTGAGAATACCTTGAATCTACAGTTTTAAAGAAGACTATAGTAATTTGAGTTATAATGCCCTAAATGCAGCGAACGTTTTCAAAGTAGAACTTACTGCGTTGAAGTGCAAGAAGAACAAATTAAGTGACAAAGCTACCACGTGATACTGTCATATTGACCATCATTGATTTATTAATATTCATCATACCTGCTAGCTTTGTCTTTACAATCTTTAAGAAGTATTTCTTCACTGTTGAGTCGTGAATGACTGTATTTTAATCAACATTAGAAATGAAACTGATTTTAACACCATACGTATCTACACAGTTTTGGTATAAAGTAAAAATATTTTTACTCACTAGAGTATCTTCTACAGCCCTTCATCCCGTACTTTTTCAATATTTTATGATTTTTCTCCTGTGTTTTATTAAACGTCGTATTTAAAATGACGGAATTCTTCATGTCCACAGCAACCAAGTCTTCGTATATTGTGACGTAGTCTAGCACTATAAAGTTACTATCAATATACACGATGTCACCACGTGAAAATATATAAGCTTTCATGCAGCCAGAAGACGACCATTTGGATGGCTGCCCATTGAATGCATTGCCTTATTACTTGGTGGGGGGTGAAATTTTTCTCCTCAAGAATGGTTAATGAGATTTTATCCTGGTGAGAAAGAGCGAATGAAAGAAAATGAAAGAATTTTTAATTATCGGCTGTCCAGAGGCAGGGGGGTTATCGAAAACATCTTTGGAATTTTAGTCGCAAGGTGGAGAATATTCAAGGGGCCCATTCGTTTATCCAGAGACAATGTTGTTAAATACGTAATGGCAACAGTGTGTCTGCATAACTACTTACGACAAACGAAAAGTGCAGTATATTGCCCAACTGGATTTCTTGATATAATATATAATTTGGTCGTGCCGGCCTGAGGAGAGCACGACCAAAAACGAGCGAACGTAGTTCCATGTGCTTTTAGGCGATGATTAAGGCAGATGTCCGGCAGAAACGTAATATAGTGTAAGCAATGCTGTAGAACTAAATTTATCATAGAGGGGAGGGGCTCTCTTGACGAAGCTGAAGCCATGAAATTATGAAAAATTACCCATTTCAAAGGTAGAAGGGGCTCCTCCCCAAGCGCCCTTCTACAGCACTGAGTACAAGTAATATGAAGTGCATACTTCAAAATGCAAATGAAGCATTAGAAATAGATTTTGTTTTGCTAATATCTGTTAACATTACAAAGAAATATTGAAATTTTAGTGGGTTAAAAAAACCTTAGTTTGAAATGTTTGGTCGTGATCAGCATGAACAGCACGACCTCTAGCTACGCCAATGCATGAGAGAATCATTAAAATATCATGAAAATTGTTATAAAGGATCAGTCTAGGCAACTTTGTTATGTAAGAGACACTGAAAAAAAGTAAATTTTATAAGAGTGATGTCATGTTGTAAAATGTATTTTTAAAATTAATAAATGAAGTAACAAATTGAATAAACAAAACGTGTAATGTACTAAATTAGTACTGCCATCAAGAGCTTTGAGCTCTTTTTGGTGATTTAAAGTCAGTCGCGTTTGTCCTATTTGAAACATGCTCTTCATAAATCTTATGAATTAAGTTTCTTTTGAAAACAAAAAAAAAACTGAAAACGAAAAAGACTTATAAAGAAGAAACTTATTTGGTTTTGGTTTTCACGATGTAAGGTTTTGCATAATTTGTCTTCCATAATTTGTGTAACAAGAAAAAGACGAAAATTAATCGCATGGATAAAAAATCATCATGCCATATTTCAAATCCAGACTGCTTCAGGCTGAAACACACTAGGCAGTCGCTTCAGTCGCGCGTCTAAAAACTACCGCTTTGCCTGGTGACTAAGCTAATAGTGTAGTCGCGTCAACCATTGTGTTCTATAATAACTGGAGCGGCTATCTCAAGCGCGGCTTTAGATATCGCATGTTGTAAAAAACATGGCGGATTTCGTCCGTTGCCGCTGAGATTTACCGAAATTGACCGCTTTTCCGAAAATTTCCCAATTTCCCACTCCCTCCTGAGGAAAGAGTGAGGAAAATGTATGTGTGTATTTGGGATTCGGCAAGCAATTTTTTGATGAAAATGAAGGTAAAAACCTTAAATTCATAACAGCGAGTCAACTGTGGTTGTCAGTTATCTGCTCCTACAAGGATGCAATTATAACTATCGACGAAAGAGCTATATGTCGGCTACACATGTATGAATGCAGATGTGCGTCGTTTTCTTACCAGCGTCAAACTTGTTTGATCGATTAAACTCTTTAGTCAATACAAAAAAGTATATCTTAGTTCATCTCCACGGTTCACGAGAGAGAAGTCAGCTTATTTGTTATCATTGCTATTTTGCTTCTTTTCATGCAATGGGCAATGGCTTTTTTCGCCACAATTGTAGGATTTTACTTGTTTCTTTAAAAAGTACATATTAAATCTCTGGATATTTACGGATTTTCTGTAATTGAGTTAAATATGAAATTTCAAAAGACTCAAGTCTGCATAGGTTTGGTAAATGAAAACAAACAATATTGTATAGAAATTACTTTAAGTAACCTTTTTGTGATGTTCTGAAGTGCAAGTGCATCAAATACTTGTAAAGTTGTAGCACATTTTGATTTTGTTGTATTGATAGCACACTTTGTTTTGTTTTTCCTATATTTGCAATAAAAGTGCACTATAATTTGAATGATTAACACAGTTTTCACCTCAATAATAAATTTCATAAGCAGTTGGTAGTGCATTTTGTTCTCTGAGTATCCACATCTGGTGTTTTGTTCATACAAGAATGATGAAGTGCAAGTAGATATGTCATAGCAAGGCAATAAAACCAAATGAATTAAATACCTATAGTGTACTTTTATGCTAGAAGCTTAAAAGCTTTTTAGAAATTATAAAGTTATTGGATTATATTATCTCTATATCATCAATCTCATGATAAGAAATAAGAAGCAAAAAATTTGGAGAAAAGCTTTGAAAAGTGAAAAACTTTCTTTAAAAAAGCAGCAATAATGCATATGATAAATCTCCATTCTGTACTCTAATAGGTAAATAAGCTCAAAGTTTTCTTAAAGAAATATAAGAAATATATAAGAAATATACAGTACAGTAACTTTAAAGGTTTCATCACTGAATCTTTAATGCTTCAGTATAGTGCATTAGATATTAGTAACATTCAAACAACACTCAACTAAAATATTTTGATAAAGATATGACATGATTTAAACATTAAGTTACATAAAACCCAATGGCTTATACAGTTTGAAGCTTCACATCTGCATTGAGTCATCATCAATCTCAGTACAAATGTTTACATAGACACAAACTTTATGGCCTTCCATTTTACATGTTTGTGAATTGACATTTCATTAAGCATCAAAACACACACAACCTTCTTGCCATCTTTCTTTGGATCATGAACTTTAACTTCAAAGCATTCAAGGCATCCTTAGTGAATCCATTGTCTCCATCCATAGAATTTGACCACGATCAAATTAAATAACTCTGGATAGGGCAGACAATAAATCAATTAGCTTTACAGCATTATCATTTTTTAAGACTCTGCCTGGTCAATAACATCTTCCAGTCATCTTTACTCCTTGATCTTCCCTGCATGTTGTCAGCAAATAGAACATAACAAGCTCTGCTACAAATCATGGGTACCTTTGAGGCTGATCATTTGTTTTTGATACTTACTCACAGAGCAAAATGTGTGCAGGGTCTTTTTGCTTTAGGAAACTATTTTGCAAATAAATGGGTAAATTTACGATTTCATGCATTAACAAATGACAGAAAAGTATGCAGAATTTTATAAACAAAACAGGAAAACATCAGTATATTTGGCGTTCAAGTCAGTCTTAAAAATACGATCTTTAATATGTATTTTATGGCTTTTCAAGTGCATGTATAATTGCTTTTCAATCGTTGACGGACTAACAAAACAAACAACTACCTCACCTGTGAGAAGCGATATGTTCCTTTTGTGGAAACTACGACATCCAACAATTGAACGATTGAAGTGTTGGCATTATAAAAGAAATGCCAAAAAAGATATCGTCACAGAATATGGAACTAACGATATCCATATTCTGTGATATCGTGTTTGTTTTTGAAAAACTCTTTTTATTTACTATAGACACCAGGGGGAGGTCGAGAATATTATTTTTCTGCAAAGCGATCATTTCAGCGGAAATACGTCCGTTGGCCGCCATTTTTTTGGCATCCTCGCCCCAGTAAAGTTAGCCCCTCCAGTTATTATAGAACTCAATGGCGTCAACTAGTCGCTTTGAAAGTTCAACATTTTGAACTTTTGACATTGGTCGCTTCAGTCGCTTGACACTGATTGGCCAATACATACATTTTAACTTCCTAAATGCATATCATATTCCCTGTCATATGCATCATACGAAATTTATAGATTATAACTTGGAAAACGAAGGCAATATATAGTGAATTCACACTGGAATCTTTCAGTTTTTATATGACTTATCAAATAGGGACAATAGGAGCTACAAACTGGAACCCTAATGCACAACCTAAATGCACAGAATAAGATTATCCACGATATACGCGTAATGCGGCATGATCATATTGGCGTGTTTCGACCGGCTTGTTTTCTTTTCTCCACATAGTAGTTTGTACTGAGTAAATATTCATATATTACTAGCTATAATAAAGGCCAAAATAAAAAGTTTAAGTGATGTCTGTTTCTGTAACAAACATAAATCGCCACTGTAAAGTCACGATGGTCGCTGCATGTGTGTTTCTGGCGTTCAAGTGACTGACGCGTGCGCATCAATTCGCTTTGGAGGCGCGACTGAAGCGACTGTCTAGTGTGTTTCAGCCTTTATAGAACCCAATGGTCGCGAGCCTAGTCGCTTTGTAAGTTTAGCATGTTGAACTTTTGACCTTGGTCGCTTCAGTCGCTTGCATGTGATTGGTTATTTCCTAGCTCAAAATGCCAATTTATGAAGTTAACGTGAACAAAGATGGCTGGTTACGAAGAAGCGCTCATAAATTCTTTTCGCAATTTTCCTGTATTATTTGATCTTGCACACAAAAATTATAAAAAGTAAAATAAAATTATATCAATTAGTTCTTTCCACATATTCCTGCTGCCATGAAAGTTGACCAACTTCTGAATAAAAATACATGGCAAACTTTTCTCTAATTTTGGATGCTTCACTGCTGTAGTTTCTTTGTTTGTTGCGAGCTAATGGTTCAAGCACACGGGTTGTTTCTTGCCTCCAAGACCCTTCATGAACATTTCCTGATGGATCCACAGTATCTGTGAAACCAGCTGGACTGTAGGAAACATGGCGTGTTCGGAGGAAATTGTGCAAAATGCAAGTAGCCTTGACAATTTTGGACACGTTTTCTGGTTTTGCTATAATGATTGTTTTAAGTATTCGCCACTTGGATACCATTATACCTGATACAAATATCAATTGAAGAGAATATTGAAAAGTGTTTGATTCGAAACTCCATAAAGAAAATGAGCATGTAAATACAAACCAAAGGTGTTTTCTATTGTTCGCCGAGCTCTTGACAATCTGTAGTTGAAAACTCTCTTTTGAAGGCAATCCAGTACCCTTCCTGGATAAGGTCACATCATCCAGCTTTAAGAGGAAATGCCTCATCTGCAACCACAGTATAGGGAAGGCTTTCGTTTGTTCCTGGTAAAGTAGATGCATCTCACCTATGAAATAAGTTTTATAAGGTGAATATTACTTTCAACACTGAATACTTTGAAGAGTTATGATACCATTTAAAAAAGCTGATCCAAATTGTGAATTAGCAACAACTCCCCCCTCACTCCATCTCTCAGCTTCACCAATATCCACAAAGATAAATTTGTACTGGGAATCGCACATAGCCATTAACACCAAGGAAAAGTGGTTTTTATAATTGAAATACAAAGATCCAGAGTTTCTCGGAGCCTGAACAGCGATATGTTTTCCATCTAGTGCTCTAATGCAGTTTGGAATATTCCATGTATAAGCAAATCTGAAAACATACAACAAACAATGATGCAGTGGCACTACAAGTCTACAATAAAGTAACCCTTTATAATAATCATGTTTTAACTTTACCCTTCAGATATTTTCTTCCAGTAACTTGGTTGCGAAGGAGCCTTCATGTATGTGGGGACAAGAACTCTCCAAAGTGCATTACACGTATCGTACACAACCTCACAAACTGTGCTAGCCCCACGACGATAAGCAAATGCTATAGACTGTGGGCTATCTTCTGTAGCTAGTCTTCTTAATGTGATTGCTAGTCTTTCAGCAGGTCCAACTGATTGCCTCATTTGAGTATCTTGCCTACAAAGAGATGGACCAACCAAAGCCAGCAGCTCATCGAATATTTGAGGGCTCATGCGAAAATACAGATTAAACTACTCCTCATCGGTTCTTAGTTCTTGAACCAAGTGCAGAAAATCTCCTTGTGCTCTCCTTTGCCTGTTTAATTGACGAACCCACCACCTTTTCATTTTATTATTTTTTCCCGTTTTTCAACCTCTTCCAACTCTTACAAAATGCAAACAGATGCCAGTAACTTAGCCTGATGACTAGAGGCCATGTTGATGGTCGCAATGTGATCGCAATGCTCGCTTTTGCATGTGTGTTTCTGACGTTCAAGCGACTGACGCGCGACATCAATTCGCTTTAGTCGCGCGACCAAAGCGACTGCACAACTTGTTTCATCCTTTAGACCTAGAGGGGAACGTCAACAAAATTACTATAAATTATTAGCGGGCGGCCGCGTGGTCAAAAACATCGCGGATTTTGGTGGTCAAAGTCAGCGGAGAGACGCGGGCTCATGAAATAAGAATTTCGTCGCCCATCCTGATTTGACCACCACGATTGGGAGTATAGAAAATATCAAAACTATTTTCCTAACATAAGCACTTTTTCAAAATTACATTTATTAAACAATCTGCAACTTCCGTGGTTTGCGGATGCTGAAATAGCGACCGAAAAGGAAACATTTCATGACTCTGGTAAGTAGCACAGTAGTAGTTTTACTATTTTGCTTTTAACACGATACTTGAAGAGTGTTTCTACTACTAAGTTTTAATTTAAAGTTATTTTGGTCAAGTCTTGTTTGTTCTTGCGAAAAAACGTTGCGAAACTACCAATTTTTATCGAGTTTTGCATCCATCTTGTATCATGATCAGGCTAAACTCTCCTGATTTGAATTGAGTTTACCTCCCAAAAATGGGGCAGAATTTGTTCATATTGATTTTTTTAAGATGAAGGGAACGTTTACAACAGAGTTGTGTTGAAATTGAATGCAGTGCCATGCAAAGTTAATGAGAACTATGGTAATATGATGTATAATAAAAATAACTATTAAACTACTTGCCTGCTCAATTTGACTGACTGTATAGTGTAGACAATTATAATGGGTTTGGAAAGTTGGATTTATGCAAACAGTTTTAAAGTACTACTTAGCGTTTCTGCAAGTGAAGTATTTATTGTTATAGTAAACAGGTTACTATTTCAAAACCAAGATAAAAGAAGTGTGTTGAACACTGTGCTAAGACTTGCTCCTACCTTGAAATTTTTGTTCAACAATAGCTTATGACTATATCATTAATATGCATGAAAAATTAAACATATTATTGTCTCATCTCACCAAATCCATACTTGGTATGATTCCAGGTGATCCACAAATTCACATCGAATGCATTGGTTACAATGAAGTTGAATGTAGAGGAAGCAAAAATAGATGGCAAAGAAATTCTTTGTGTCTTATGAAGAATTAGTACAAATCAATAAAAAGAATTCTTTAAACAAATTGTAAACAAATTTAAATTGCTCATGGTCAAGCAACCTAGTCAGAGAAGCAAAGTCTGTCTTCAACATGTGACCTTTACAATTATGTTTAGTTTTTTTGTACAAAATAATATTTTTGAGAAACTTGATTTGTAAGTCTTTCATTAATATTTTTTTACCAAGACATAAAAGAAACAAATTCAAAGGCTTGATGGAAAATACAAAGATTTATCAAGTTGTTTATCATTTAATTCCCAATTGTTAGTTTGTACATATAAATAATTAGTATTGGTAGCTGTAAGTTGTTCAAGCAAAACAGAAGAGTAGTAGTGCTCGAAGGGGTTAGCATTTTTGAAAAATTATATCTTTTTCTTGACATACATTACACAATTCCAAAAGACTGTAAGTAATACACGATAATATCTATAGAACTTGATAAATTTCTTCGCCTACACTGTCAATTAACTATTTTGCCTTCATGCAGCAATAGACAGAGTGTTTTTGTCAGAGAAACCAATGCACTTTAGTTTCCAAGTTTGTAATTTCAATGGAAAATTAATGTAGTTCTGTTCAGTGATCGACCCAAGGTTCTGCCAAGCAGTTTCCAAAATAAAAATTTCCAACAAACATATCATAATGTTTTGTAGCACTTCTAGTTCAACATACTTTCTCTATGAGTTTTCAGTAGATTTATCAGGTAATGACAATACACTTATGATACTTATCCATGGTAAATTTTCAGTTGACTTATGTCGTAGAACTGAGGCAAACATTTTCTCGCTTCTTTAGGAGCATTTTTAAACAGATTTATCATTTAAGCAAGAAAAATAGTTGCACCAAACTGTTTACAAACAGTCAAACACACAGAAGCATGAAATAATGTATAAGTTTGACGAGATTGACAGGTCTACTAAAGAATGCCGTTTGATTTTCACTTTTAAAATGTTAAAATGTTATAAAATAACTTAAATGTTACAGCCAAAATATGCGTTCCTCTACCGTCGATTTTCTTTATCTTGATGTGTGTGTGTGTACTGTGTTTTCACGCAATGCTGAAGCATTATTTTGACATGATATGCTGTCGTTATCGTAATTGTGTTTTTTTTCACTTGTTATCGTTCATATAAACAGTATTAGAAATCAGGAGGGAGTGAATATTGAAAAAATTTTTAAAGGGAATTTTTGACCACCAAAATCCGCCATTACCGCCATGTTTTTGACCACGGAGTCCAGGCCCCTTTTCCCCTCCAGGTCTTATAGAACTCAATGCTCGCGACTAAAACTACTAGCTTAGTGACCGCGCAATTTGGTAGTTTTAGTCGCGCGACTAAAGCGACTGCACAGTGTGTTTCAGCCTTTAATCTTACCATTCTTAAGTGAATCGCTTAAGGAAAATCTACAGGAAAATTGCATTGAACCAGTGGCGTGCGGTCATGCAAGCGTAGGCAAGCGCCGCTTGCCTAAGCATTTTACCGAACAAAAATTTTTTGGATCAATCTCTGAGCAAAATCAGTTTAAATTTTTCGGTTCTAAACAATGTCAATGTAATCTTTTGTCTAAATTGTCTTTACAGTTGAAATGCTTGCTATTTATACGCGATTTACTGTCGTGGTTTTCGGTTTCACTTTGCTACACTGGTAAGATGAGTCAAGTGTATTAAATTAAGTGGATTAAATTAATTATTTATTAACCAAGGCAAGCGCGCTTACCTTCGGAGCTCAATTTGAACATTTGCGCATGCGTTAATCTAGATTTGGAGGCTTCTTATTCGAGGAATATCGAGAAAAGGCAAGCGGCGCTTCTAAGGGCGCCGCTTGATAGCGATTGGTCAACAGTCTTGTACGTTCGCAATTTTAAACACATATCAGCGCACGAATAATATTCTTATATTCAACACATTGGACATCCGAATTATTCACGCCGTTAATGTTATCGTTTATTAAAAGATGACTGAGAGCGAAAGGTAATGTTCTGATTTCTAATTCAAAGTAGTAGGTGCTTTACTGGTTATTTTATTATTTTCTGATCACAATGTGCGTAAACAAGCAGGGGCCGCAGTCTGCAGAGATATCGAAATGCACGCAAACGTGTGTTGTGGTAAAGTATGACTAGCATTATGACCAAAACACTATGCTCTTGTCAGTCTTGTGTCGTTGAATTCGTAAATTAATGACTAAACGTAAAAGGTACAAGATACTAAATAATAAACACGACTCTCCGATATTCTGAAACGTACGAGTCAGTGCCAGACACATTTTGAAGAACGGGAGAACACGTTGCCATGACGTCATTATACCAAAATATAAACATTAAACAACGCCATGGCCTCAGTTTGTAACACACCGTGCCAATTTTGTACGCGAAACTGGCTGTTCTTAATTGTTATAATCACGACTGCTACAATACATTTCGCGCCTATTGTCTTGCAATTTATGTATGTAGAAGATATTATCTGTAGCATGTAATACAAGATTATGATATTGACAAGAGCTTCCTTTTGCGTAGTAGTTTTGATATTTGTATCAGGTAGATTTTAGCGTTATATATAAGTCTTTCGTATGAGCTCCGAACGTGAGTTCAATGTACTAGAACGCTATTAAATTTTGTGATTATTTTATTCACTAGCGAAGAAGTTATTTACAACAGTCGTGAGTGTTCTATGTGTTAGAATTTATTTACAGGCTTTTTATATATTTGGTTAAAGAAGGTGCAGTTATTACACAGCGGATAATGTACTTGAAATTTGAGTAGTTTTACCTAATTATAAAGTTAAGTGCGTAAGTTTAAGTAGCGCGTTTGAGTAAGTGTAGGATTGGCTATTTCCTCTATTGCTAATACATGAATCTAGATGAGTAATATACGCACGTTATGTACGTCACTACAAGATATCATGTAACTGATGTAAGGTATAAAAGCCGCGAACCTCACCCCCAGCGCTTGCCTATTAAATTCGGTCACCGCACGCTACTGCATTGAACTCGATCTTGTTTGAGATTTTGGGCTTGTTGGGATGCTTTAATAGCTTCACAGAAATAACACATATGTGTTCCAATGTTATTAGAGAGCAGAAACTAGAAAAATACTGAACTACAAACATAATGTGGAAGATGGAGATTTCACTAATACAATGTGAGCAGGTGTAAAAAATACAGTGCCATTATTAAAAGATAATGGTGGCTGTTCTTACAAACTATGTATCTCTCAACTCGATGATCATAAATAAGTCAGGCTCCTGAAGTTTTTACTAGGCTAGAATATTTATAAGATGTAAAATTTATCTAATAGCCGTAGCCTGCATAAGGCTCATTCATAGTTCTTGTTTTGATAATAATATATTTGTAAAATATAAGTTACCAGTAGTACTGTTTGAATTTTTAATTTTATTTATTTATTTGTACAAACCCCTAGAGCTACCTGTTATTCTACTATTGTTACCAGAACTTTTTTGCCTAGTTATATTATTCTCGCTAAAAATCTAACCTTAAAATTTTACGCTGAATGAACTATATATAACAAATTTGCTAGTTTTAAGAGATATGAGCAAATGGCAAAATTGGAACAATTTTTTGCAAAACAAAGCTAACGAAATAAGACTTATTATCGCATGAGGTAGCTAAAAATTAATATAAATTAATGACATACAATACAAAGCTAATTATTTAGGTGGAGAATAATGACTGATGAAAAGTCCAGAATACAAATGTATAGTATAAACAGTTTTCTTTTTTCATTGCATTTTATTGATACGATGACTTATCATTTATGCTAATTGATTTACTTCTAGGAAGTAAAATATTTTTATTCACTGAAGCTACATTTCTAGTTACATCATGCAGTTATTTCCTCAAAACTTAATTTGCGTTACTTATTTTTATATTAGAAATTTTCCTTTAGGAATTCTTCCAAAAAATCTCCAATTTCGTCTGGATTGCAAACTTCATCAAATTCAGGCAAATTTATTTCAGGAAACTTTTCTTTTAACATTTTTACACTATTTATTTCAAGAAAGCCTACTTTTTCTGAATCAGTTGGATTTCTGGCAGTATAAACGACTGATCTTCGCATTTTCCTTTTAGGATCACATATTGCTTTCCAAAAATATTCAGGTACCGTAACTCTTTTATTCAGCTTGAGTAGACCAACATGCTTGTGTTCCAACAATCTAGCTAAAATGAATAAACTGTATGTGTTACTATTAGTAGTCGGGAATTTAAAAAGTTCAATTGATAGAGTTGTAAACAAATTCTTTTGAAGGTACATTTGGCGTATCGAAAATAAATTTAGAATATATTGTAACATAGCTAATCTCATAGTCTCTGTTATTATTTCCATGAAGCAAGACATAACTTGATTTTAGATTTCTTGTTTGTATTAGAAAATTCGTTTCACTAATTGAACAATTTGCACAAAATTATCTTCTCGAATGCCATAGCATTGCATCGCTTTGTTGCATGACTGCAGTCACCAGTTTTAGTACAGCTATGTGAAAATTTGAAACATTCTCCATGTTCATTACTTTAAAAAGATGTTGTTTACACAGAAAATGAACTCAGAAAAACTGCCGGCTATTGCACTGCTAACAGATCAACTCATTGTATTATCTGTGAAAGTAAACAAAATAATTATAAAAGTAGTGAGAACGTGATGTAATTATTTTTATAACCAAAAAATACGGTTAATAATAAATTTAATACAACAGTGTGATATCAATGCAGTCATTTCAATTTATTTTGACATTATGGCTTCTTAAATCAATATACTATACCTGTTCCTGTTATTACATAAAGTTTGCTTTTGTATTTCGTGGAATAATTTTTCACAGCATCCTCCAGAAATTTCCATTTTCCACCATTAAAATCTTGACATTGAGGTGCAATGTTTGTATTTACCATTGTAAACTCACGTTCTTCCACGAGTTCAAAATTCCCGTAGGGTGTAAGATGACCACGGTTGTAAACACAGATATTTTGTCCAAATTTTTGTTTTATCTGTTTATAGTCCTCTTTGACATCCGATTGTGGTTTTGGAGCTATTTAATTATTTAAAGCGAAAATTAATTTTTTGTCACAAATGATAGTAGCGAAACGTAAATATCAATGATCAGTCATCTATATATGTTCAGTGCAGGGGCGTAACTGGATTGTTTTAGTGTGGGTGCTAAGTCTAAAATTTTCCAACAAACAGGCGGGTTCAATACAGAAACGACAGTGGTGTAGCTAGAGGTCGTGCTGGTCGGCTGATCACTACCAAACATTTTCAAACTACAGTTTTTTTAACCCACTAAAATTTCAATATTTGTTTATAATGTTAACAGATATTAGCAAAAACAAATCTATTACTACACTATTTTATTTACATATTACTTACACTATATTACGTTTCGGCAGGACATCTGCCTTAATCCTCGCCTAAAAGCACATGGAACTGTGTTCGCCCGTTTTTGGTCGTGCTCTAGTCAGGCCGGTACGAGCAAATTATATATTCGTAAGCGCTGATTGGGTAGAAAACCTCACGGCCTGTTAAAATGGGTATAGTCAGCCTTAGTTTGGTCGTGCTTTGATCAGGCAAAAACGACCAAAACATAAATAACTAATAATATACAAGGCTGCATTGCGTCGTTCGCATGCATAATCGCCGAATATTCTCCTTTGGTCGTGCCAAAGTTTATTAGCACGAGTACTTCAGATACTGGATCGTGACTAAAACACCACACGAGTACATACGAGTACATACGAGTAACATACGAGTACATACGAGTACATACGAGTAACATACAAGTACATACGAGTAACATAGTCCACTACATTGACTCAAATTGATTATGTTAACATGCATAATTTACTGAGCGGTTGCCAAAAGCATGAAAATTTCAAAGTCGCACATTGAAGCGTACATAACCGGCGGAACAGACAACTTATGTTGCCACCAACTGTACTTGAAATTCATGTTTAATTTGTTCGCGCTACACCACGACCAGTTGTTTTTGTCTAGCTACGCCACTGGCAAACGAACATGGCCACAATTCATTTTCAAACAGAAGTGATGACTGCCTTATATGTTTTATTGTAGCGTATGTATTTTAATAGTTTATTTACAAATTTTCATCAAACCCATAGAAATTTCGTAAATATAACTGCAAAATTGCGTTTTTCATTTATTCTGCGTTATTTAAACATCTTATATTAACCAAAGAGTCGTAAATTTGGGAAGAATTGAAAAAACAAACAAAGCAGCGGCAGTTGTAACTAAAAATTCTTTGTAAAAGCGTTGTTGGATAATACAATTGTCACTTATGTAAAGTTTTACGACGAACGGTGAACAGCATTAAAATAAAAGTGCTACTCCCGCGAAATTTGACCCCTCTTTTTGTGCTAATCTAATAGAAGTCGCGAAGCTGAAAACGAATCTTAAAATAAAATTTCATTTAACTTTTTCAAACCGATTTTACAGCTCTCCAAAGTTGCGATTTTTGGCACTTCCTGTTCGAATTTATACATGACTTGTGACGTCATAAGATGTGCACATACTTATCATGACGTATAATTTTAATAGCGAAAAAAGCGTTTGTGGAGGTAAACATTGTGTTGTTTGTGGTCCTAACTTAGTTAACTTCAACATGAATTCTCATGCAGAAGGAATATATATGCATGAGTTTCCTAAAGAGGAAACAGATGCTCAAAGACGAAGAAAATAGATTATACTTGTTCGCAAACATAGACCACAATGGTCGCCTACTTCAAATTCGTTTCTCTGTTCGGCGCATTGGAAGTTTCTTGCTTTGATGTAAACCGATCTCTTGCTAAGTCACTCGATATCAAAAGAAGACTTAAAAGCAATGCTGTTCCCACTGCTAACATGGCGGGAAGTGTTCCTATGAGTGAGCAACAGATAACGAATCGCCAACGGAGACAAGTACAAAGTAACATGTTAATTGGCTATGCTTTGGAACATTCACGTGCCCTTTCTCACACTTAAATATATTTATATTTTAGTGGACCCACAAGTCATCGTCATCTATAAAATCGCCCTGTACTCCTGGAAAAATTGACGAACAAGAGCAAAAAAACAATGGAAGATATGACTGTTACAGACTTCAGGCTTGTTGGACTGTGAGCCTTTGCAGGCTATGGCTGTCAAAAAACAAAGCCGAAGCGAGAAAAAAAAAACAAGAAAAAAGCTGTTCTGCCAATTGTACATCATGCGCCATTTCAAAAAAAAACCCAGCTCTCTCCAAAAAACTGTCAGCCAACTGAAGAAAACTAAGGCAACATTGCTGAGGCAAATTCAAAATCTTTAGGCCCAGCAGAAGGCACTTTTAGATGCTCCATCTGCAGGTAGAATGGACAAAGAATTGTAGGTGATTGTATGGTAGAAGAGATCGAAGATGATTTAGTTGAATCTTTATCAAACGACTACTCGTCTTTGAAGAATCAAGTCAGGATAATTGATTTGGATGAGGATATCATGACAAATTCTATTAGGTAAAGTGCACAATTATCAAGTACAATTGTTTATCGATAAATGCAATAATAATTTTTTATACAGTATTGAGAAAGAAACTGCTGTGTACAATGAGCCAATGTTTCTTCTTTTCTATTCTGCCCTGGTTGAGATTTTTGAGATTTTTTGTATCTGTGCTGAAAACATGTGTTCAAGTTCTATGATTAATTTTATATTTTGGGGTTGTATGTAAGAATTATATAGAATTCGGATTGTGGTTGCTGTATTTCTCTAGCAGTGCCTGTTACATTGAAAAGGTGATGTTTCCATTTTCCATCATATTGTTGTATATTTTTCTGCTTAAACATGCTTTCAAATTGGATGATTAATTTTTGCTTTTTGGAAAATTTCTGTTGTCTGTGTAACACATCTTTCCTCCACATGATTTAACTTAGGAAATCGATTATATCTCCTACTAAGTTCTCCACCCTGGTATTTGTATATCATTTAACTGTTTATTGCTAATGCTTAAAAAGTATTTTTTATTCTATTCCCATGTATGTATAGAACGTAAATGGTGGTTTCAGGATTACTCTGATTGTGGCTATTTGATTGACAAGGTGATGTTTCCACTTTCCATCTATTGATGTTTCAAATTCTATGATTAATTTTTTAACTTTTTCGATGTTATTTATATTCCTGCTGCCCTTCAAAAACCTGTCTCATTGCCTTCCATAATTATCATGAACAACAGTGGCAATCTTGTTGTGATAAAATAATATATCAATTCTGCAATTATGTATGAGAACATGTATAAACACATTGTTGGCTTTAAGCAAGTTTGTGATGAAATATTTTTTCAACAATTTTATGGAATAAGTTAGTATTGTTCAAAAATAAACATTAAGACCTTTATTCGGCTAAGGCATAGGCAATTGTGCTTTTTGTTTGACATTTCATCCTTACACAATCATAAAAATTATATAAACACGCATGCCGATTCTGTTAGTTACCATTGGTGTTTACCCAACCCAATGTGGCACTCAAATTCAATAGCTTTCAGCATTCGATAGGTAGAATTTATCTTTAACCGTTGATGTACTAACTGGGTCAAGGTTTGGTTAAAAGCGTAGTGTTGGAATGCTGACTGTCTCTGGGAAAATCGTCTCAGTAATATGACATTTTTATGATTGTTTCGTTAATACTCAAAACTTACCGATAGCGTTCGACCTGAACTGTCGGGAAATTACGGCATTTTCTCAGGCTGTGCTTAGTGCTAGTTAGAAATCCAAACTAATCCATGTTTGGCACACAGTCGAAAGAAATTAAGCCGCAAACATCACAATTCAACATTACTTTTTCTTAATAATGATGTATTTACATGTTGTTCTGAAATAAAGGATTGTGAAGTTACATCAACATGGCTGTCATCCGTGTCAGGCATTCTGTTGATAAATTTTCTAAAAAATTGCTTACTCCAGAAATCTTTTGCTTATAGTTGTTCAGATAATTGTCTTTTTAATACTTTTGTAAAATTTCATGCATTTTAACCCATTTTTTGTATCGGAATTTGATAAAAAGACTGCCGGTCTTGCAATTTGTATATAAAGCCATAATACACAAGAGAGACTTGTACATCCTATGACGTCACCGACCATTTGTAAAAATTCGCATCCCTCGCCGATCTTTGGCGTAGGATTTAGATAACCTATACTTAACAGAAAATGCTCAAATAAACAAGAAAAAGTTCCTTTTAATGTGTACTTTTAATGTGTACGAAAAAAAGAGGCGGTCAACTTTCGCGGAAGAAAGGAGACAAAAACAATCTTGCGCTCACTCATTTGTTTTCAATTCTTCTCAACTAGTGCATAAAAATCGTACGCACTCACCAATCATGCAGTAATCTATTAATATACACTACTAAGTGCAGCTAATGAAAGAGGTAGAACGTTGATACTTTTAGATACTTTTTGAAAATTGCGTATTCTGATACACTTTGTTTTTTCTTAGTAAATTCTTGTCAGTCAATGGTTCATTTATATGTATAACTTGCACTTTCTCACGACTAAAAATTTGCTTTCTCTACCTCTTAAGTGCCTCATTACCATTAAAAGAGTTGTACCCAAGTAAATCTTGAATGGTTCGTGATGTTTGAAATGAAAAGCTAACTATGTTTTCGACAGTGATTAGCGGATATAACTTATGTATATTAATATTATATTTGGATACATGGAACAAACACACATTGCCTATGAATCAGAATTTTACGCAACGCTTATGAGGTATTTCTACTTTGCCAGCTTTGCAAAATCCTTTGGTTGAATTAAATAGGTAGTTAGACTTTTATGTAACGGTAAAATTGTCGAAAAAAACAACAATTTTTGGTATAAGAAAGAGAAGAACTTTGCAATAGCTTTCCCACGAAATTGATGCTGCTAAAAAGCAATTTGAACTCATAGCCTTAAAATGTGACACATGTTGTTCAAGCTTACAAAGTTTTGGAAAATTTTGATAATGCGTACTTGAACACTTAGCTTCCAAATTGCCAATTATTTTGAATTTTTAGTGTTGAATTGCCATCTTGTTATAGTTATGCAAAAATTCGAACTTTAAGCTAATCCAAATATAAATAATTGATGAATGTTTAAAAAAAAGCATATTTTCACCAGGTTTGCGAGCTGAAAAAAATATAAACCACATTTTAACCCTATGTGTTGCAATTTCCTTGCCATTTTTCGTGCGCAAAATTTTTCAAAAGGGCTTCTTCGTAGCACAATTCTCGCACAGAAAATACCATGGTCACTAGCTATTTCCAAAAACTTTTCTGTCAGATGATCCATTGGAATTCTAACTACTTATCTCATCAAATTTTTTGCAGTTCCTACGCGCTGATAACTTTAGGGACGTTTTCTTATCTGTATTCCTATCTTTATGCGCCTTTATAATACGTATATGTTATTTACAGGCTGAGACGTCCGTGCGGAAAAAATTCGCCTTCGGCCTTGGGCCGCTTTTGAGACCTCATGTAATTAAGAAGAAATTCGCGCAATAATATGGCCATGACAACTTGATGTTGACACTAAAATTGGATTGTTTTCTATAAACTCCGCTTCGTCATGATAGTAAAATTCACTCATGCTATAATAACTTTCATCACTTTGCTTTCTTCTTCAACAATTTTTCGTTGCTTTTAAATCATATTTGAAAAATTTTCATTTCAGTTCGTAAACAAATACATTGCAAAAGAAATATCACTTTTGACCCTACGGGATAGATATTGGTAATGCTGCCCACTAAAGCAACCAATCAAATTGCAGAAAATCAAAAAATATCGCCTTCGACCCGAAAATAAAAAAATAAAACATATTATGTATAATATATCTTGTTATAACAAGTGGTATTGACACATATTATAGTCATTGTATGATTGGCATTAATGTACTCATTGATAATGACTTGATTTTCGTAAAGCATTCATAAATATGTTTTATCTAAACCTATTTCAACGATATTTAATTACAGCCAGCTATATTTTGTTTTAAGAAAAGCGCCCTTTTTAAAATCGCATGTACACATGCATGTAATTAAGTTATTGTTGGTAAATATTAGTATACATGTTGGGAACATGAAAATTTTTTACACGTACCATAATTTCCATTCTCGTTTCTCCAACCTCCTCTATTCTGTCCCCTTTTCTGCAGAACTTGTTGAGTAGACTCTGGTAGAAGTGAAATGAATATTATATTTGACATCAAATTTGAATGTCAATTTAAGAAACGAATTTTTATTGTCGTTTACTTGAAAATGAATTTAACGAATGCATAAATTTTTATCATGCCTAAACGAACACAAGAAGAAAACGTCATTATGAATTATTTTGCTATTACTTTAACACTCGCTTGTTTTGCTGGTTTCAAAATTCAAAATTTTCATGTGAAAAATAAAATAACGACAACAAAAAATATAAATATAAAATCCTTCATTTCTTTTCGACAACACATTCTGAGAATAAATGTTTTTTTTTGTTTAAAAACAATTCTAATTGTCTTTCAACGGCGTTTTAATGCACTGATGTACTTTTTGGGTAATGCCCCAGTTTGAATGTTGTAGGCGTGTTTTTTAATTGATATGACATCTGTATCTAAATATTCAGTTTTTGTGCTTACATTACAGCGTAAAAATTCAATTACACATACCAAATAGTCCAATCTCGTTTTTATAACTTCCTCTGCTAGGTACTTGAGAAAATGGCAGCACCACGTGACCAGTAAAATCTGGGATAAGAGTGTCACTGTTGTAACACACTGCAAACAATGTTTTTTGTAACGTACCATAGCACAATCCAGTTCGCGAATTGCCAGTACAGTCTACTGGACGTTTCATGATAGGAAATGAGCTCTCCATCCAATTACCAAATAAACATTTGTTAATATCATTCCCAAAGGCATTCATGTATTTCTGACCAGTAACACAAGAAAGATAAAAAGTCGAAAATGCCCCCACAGCAATGAATATGAACATCATAATTGTCTGTTGGTGATAAAAAAAAATATGAATTATAAGTGTTATTATAAAACAACAAGAGCTTATTCAATATTTCTTATAAAAAATTTCAGATGGTTTTTACTGAAAACTTAAAGTCAATATATAGTATTAATTTTTTCTTCCGTTAGTATTAATGAGAGCTATTCTTGAAAAAAATAAATATTTATTCATCAGAAGAAGAAGACCATCACCAAAACCAACTTTAAACTTATATAATTGACTCTGCAGGAATCATTTTCAAAAATCATTTTCAAAAGCGTGGACTAAAAAGGCATATGATAGCAGATGAATAAACACAACTGAATTGGTCCGAATGACAGTCTTAAAAATTGATCGAAATTTTTGAGAAGATGTAAATATGTGATATCCAAAAGCCAGGAAAACAAACTTAAACAAAGTATAGCAAATATGGATATTGCAATTTAAGGCCTCAGTTGCGAGAGACATCTAGGAAATAGTTAATGAACGCTGCAACTATAACTTGAAAAATTAATTTAAGACTATCGAGACAGATAGCATAATTTTATTAGATGATTTTAAGGACACCCTTGACAAAGATTTTTCTGTTTTGAAAGCACAAGGTACCAAGGTATAGATCCTCTATACCGAGTTACTGACAGAAGAAGAAACATGCAAATGAATGCTTGAGAAATCTTGGGGATTTATAATTGCAATTAACAAGATAATAGTGACAGGTGAATGATTAGAGGTCTAATAACTACATTTAAACGATTGTAACATAAAAACTTGGTCCAAAGTGTGAAAGTTTGTGTTTTAGGATAAAATTAGTTAAATAAATACCTAAAAAAGGCACTATTTTGAATGCTTTTCTTGCTTATGTCAGTATTTTACACATGTGTAAACTGCAGAGCAGATTTAAACTCAATTTTATCCATCTTTGCTATAATTCTAATATTCCACAGATATCTGTCAGTTTTATTAAGTACTAATATAATCAATACCCATGGTTCGTGAAACGCACTTTTCCAATATAGGCTACGAACAGAAAGAGAAGCTCTATTTTAGGAACCCAAATATATAATGCTGAACGACATATAATAATGAACGACATGTTTTCAAATTTCAATACACATGCACCATTTAAAATTTAATGCTGGTTTACTCATTTCATTGTACATTTTAATTTAAATGGTCGACCAGTTTAACGCAACTCTTTTCTCCTTTGGATACACTTGTCAACTTGAGAGCAGCAGACAGGTCATGAAAGAGATCATTTAATAAAATGCTGCCTTCACTGACATTGATGTTATGGAATTTGTAGCACGTATTGAATTACTCAAGGATCAGTTAATGTGCAAAATACAAGAGTAGTCGTAACCGTTGCAAACTTGCCATGCTTAAGTAAATTAGAGAAAATTAAAAACAATGGCAAAAGATCTGGTGTTGATTTATTGCAATTAAAAGCATTAAGAAAATTTAAGGGGTCATAGTCTAATTTATATTACACAAGATGCATAAAGGTATTGCATTTTGACTGATTTTTGCTGTATGATGAGCACGACTTGTTACTTATGGAATATAAAAAGACTAGTAGAATTAAAAAAGGTAATTCACAAAAGAGAATTATGTAAATTTTAAAGAATACATTGTTGTTGCACGTTCATAAATTAAATGCCTTTTAAGTCTTCTAATAGAGGGGCATCTTTTGTAGAGTCCCAAGCTGGAATTGCTAGAGAGAAGCAAATGGACAACATTCACAAAGAAGAGCTAAATGTATTTTGTACAAAGGTTTAGTTTGTTGTTGGATGAGTTGTACTTTTCAGAAATACAAGTAACGCGTTATTTATCAATACAGAGTGTCTGTTTAATAAAACAATATTTTCTTATTACAAAATCTCTTTAACTATTTACAAGATAAAAATTGCTGTTGAGGGTTAATTGAATAAAGTTGACAGCCCACCATTTTACTCTCGCTATGCAAATACTTTTGTGTCTACTGACCGTGATATTATGATAACATTAGATTTCTAAAAAAATGACTAATGGTAATATTTTATAATTTTACGTAGAGAGAATAAACCTGTAGGCTGGCTACGCTACTGCCCTTCCTCTTAGTAACATTCTTCCCAGAGCTCCACTGTCTACAATAAATATGTTATCGATCGATTGCAAAAGCCATCAAATTATTGAATTTTCAAATTGAAATACTCAAGAACTGCAGGTTTTGGAAGGTAAAAACAAGTGAATTCACACTTTCTATGATATATCCTATTTATCTATCGTAATAAAAAGTAGTGCCCGATGTGGGGCAACCAAAATTATTTTCTAAGCAACTTAATCAACACGACCTAACAAAACACAATCAATACGAGCTATGATAACAAGACAAGTTTATGAAATTTAAACGATTGCAAGTTTTCAATAGAGAGGAGAACAAGTGCGATGCTCACTATGTAGGTAAAACTTCTCAAAGGTTGAGTGAAAGAACAGAGCAACATGTACCAGGTTCTATCAGGAATAAAACTGTTCCTTTACGACAACAACCTAAACGTGATTGTAGAAGTGAAAATTTGATTTCAGGTGACTCAGCAATTGGGAAAAATCTTTTGAAATAAGACTATTTGTGCCAATTCATATT